TCCTCTTCCTTGGGACAGCTTTTTAGATATTGGAAGACAATGATTATGATCTCCTCTCCTTTCTGCTCTGCCCCCGAAGAATGGCCAAGTCTTTATCTTTCACCTCTGGAGCCTTTCACAGTCTTTTTATTCCTTATTCAATTTGTTGACTTTGAGAGTCCATGGGCACTGGCTCATAGATTTGGAGTGGGATTTGGAACTGGTAAGGACCTTAGAGGCCATCCACCCAGTCCAATTTCCTCATTTAGCAGATGAGGAAAGTTAAGGGTCAGAGTGGGTAAATGACTCACCCAAGAGGGCTTAGACCAATTTGACCATGCAGAGCAAAACCAAGACTCATGGTTTCTTGTTTTTTGTTAGACACAACCTTCATGGAAGCCCTATTAGGCCAGATTCAGGATGCTTATTCTATTTTGGTCTTTGGTTTGTGAGTGAAGTGAAGCTCATGCTGGTGACATTTTTCAGCAGTGTTATCTGGGAGTGCAGTCTGTCTCCAGAACTGGCATTGGTCCTTCTGGCATAATAACCTTGGCAAGGGGAATTCTTGGGGTGACACAGAGAGTAACAGTGGCCAAGCTCTGACATTTAGGAAACCTTGGTTCCAGCAGAAGGTCCCAGGTTTCAAAGACTTCTTTTAATTCAAATAATGGTTAGGATCTCTTTGAGGCCTCCGCTCAGCTCCCAAAGTTCCAGGCACTCTGCATACCTTTTCACACCCATCAGAAAGATGGAAATTGTGTTACATCTGATAGAATTTTAAAATGAAAGGAAGGTTAATTTACGGTTAGAGAAGAGCCTACACAGGTAGAAATATAGCTAATTTCCAATGAAAGCAGTCTAAGTTAAAATACAAGATAAAATATATCAGTGGTGTCTCATAATATTGCTTTTCTGCTTACCATAACTTTTCATTATTATTATTATAATTATTATTATTCCAGTTCAAGAGCCTAAAACCAGACTCTGGTTAAGGAGATGAAATTTATTCGTTCATTTACATAAGAGGCAATCTGACACGGTCAAAAGAACTTGAGACTGAAAGTCAAGGAGACTTGGATTTGAATTATGACTCTGACACTAACATGCTCCAAATTTCAAATTTGAGATTTCATTTAGTTTCATTGTTGTTTAGTCATTTTTCAGTCATGTCCAACTCTTTGTGACTTCATTTGGAGTTTTCTTGGCAAAGATAGTGGTATAGTTTGCCATTTCCTTTTCCAGCTCATTTGGCAAATGAGGAAACTGAGGTAAACAGGGTTAAATGACTTGCCCAGGGTCACCCAGCTAGTAAGTGTCTGAGGCCAGATTTGAACTTAGCAGGATGAGTCTTCCTGACTCCAGGCCTGGCACTCTATCCATTGTGCTACCTAGCTGCTTCTTTGACCCAGAATTAACACTACTGCGTCTGTACTCCAATATTAGTACTAAATTTAGCTCTTTGCTCAACTACTTCCTTACCTGGAGCCGGTCATTTCTGGATCACATTTAGAGCTGGAGGTCACCTAGCTCATCCCCCCTCATTTTTTCAGATGAGGAAGTTGAGCCCCAGAGAGATTTAGTGACTTGTCAGGGGTCATCAGGCTTGACGAGCTGGGATTTAAACCAGGCTTCTCTGACTTCAAATGCAGCAGTCTTTCAACTGTATCAGCATATCCTTTATCACCGTCAGGTCATAAAGGAGGTTAGTTGGTGGTAGTTTTTTTTTTTTTGGTCAGATTCTTTTTTTTTTTTTTGCAGTTATCTTCAAAGGGAAAGAGGTATGGCCAGGTAGATAGATAGAGAGAAGACCTGGGTTCAAGGCAGTCTCTGAAACATACTGGCTGTGTGTGTGTTTGTGTGTATGCCCATGAGAGAGACAGAGACAGAGAGCCTGGATAAGTTAGTTAAGCTCTCCATGGCTCCAGGTAATAAAGGTACTAAACTGCAGAGTAGTTAAGCTCTGCAGAAAGAGTGTCCTCTGTGAGAGTACCAAGGAAATCACAGGTTCGAACCAAGAAAAGTCCCCAGAAGGGAAGCAAGAACGTTGTAGCACTTTCTTATAACAATTGAAGTATCTACAATTCACAGGTCACTAGGTATAGGCTGAGTAGCCTACAGTTTACAGATCTGAACCTCTTCCCTTTTTTGAAAATTAGCATAGCCTCCCATTTCTAGTCATACAACAACTCTCTCATTCTCCAGGATCTTTTCAAGATCACTGACAAGGCCTCAGCAATGACATCCACCAGTGTTCAACACACTGGGATGTTGTTTATCTGGGTCTGGTAACTTGAACCTACTGGGGCAGCTAGAATAGGTGCTTTCTGTTTATCTCCTAACTTATCTTGGATATCCATTCCATGGAACCATTTGAATCCTCTTTCCTAGGTCAGGGGTTTCCTTTGTAGAGAAATAAAACTTAAGCAGTACTGCCTTTTCTCCATCGTTGGTTAGCATGGTCAGTCACCTTCAGCAGTGTCTTATTCCCTCTTCGATAATTCCCTTTGGCTCTTGTCTGAACCAAATTTTAAAAACTTCCTTCTCTTTGGCCTACATTTTCATCACCAGCTTCAATTCCTGCTAAGCTCTGGCTCTCCCTACATCCTTTTTTTTTTTAAATCAAAATTTTTTTTTAATTTTTAGGCAATTGGGGTTAAGTGACCTGCCCAGGGTCACACAGCTAGTAAGTGTCAAGTGTTTGGTCTGAGGCCGGATTTGAACTCAGGTCCTCCTGACTTCAGGGCTGGTGCTCTATTCACTGCGCCACCTAGCTGCCCCTCCCAACATCCTTCTTAAAGGACTGTATTCAATTTTGGTGTTCATTCTCAGTTATCTCTTTGGTCAGTGACATTCCTGGGTATTCACAATTTTAGACACTTGCCCCTTTTCTTTCTCTTTAAAATCACCACTGGGGGCAGCTTGGTGGTGCAGTAGATAGAACACTGGCCCTGAAGTCAATAGGACCTGAGTTCAAATCCAGCCTCAGACCACACTTGACACTTAGTAGCTGTGTGACCCTGGGCATGTCACTTAACCCCAATTGCCTAAAAAAATAAATAAAAATAAATAAAATCACCACTGTTTGTATTTTGAGAATTCCTTGTTGGGAGCTTCTCATTGTCCTTGGGTTGCCTTCCCCTCTAGAATCTTAGGCCATGGAATCCTGTCCATCCTTCCTCTAAATTCATAGGATCATAGATTTACAGTTAGAAGGGATCCTAGAGGTCATTTAGCCCAGGTATAGGTAAATAGGGTCAATGTGGAGCAGCAACTGTATCCTGCTCCACACCAGCAAGTGTCCTAATAGGAACTTGGCTTCAGTCCCAGGTCTGCTCCCAACAAGCTTGGGGAACATGGGCTGAGGCACAAACAGTGCTCTACTGGGGGTGTGGTTAGGAGGCTGGGACTTCACCACCAGGAACCTAACCTACCACACCCACCCTGGAGGTCAAATGAAGGAACTGGGGTGTTGATTTATTCAGGAAAAGAGGAACATGGTAGCTCTCCTCAAGTGTCTGAAGGGCTGTCTTGTAGAACAAGGGATCTGGCTTGTTTTGTTTGTCTTCAGAAAGGAGAATTGAGGAACATTTGTAAGACAGATAGATTTAGGCTCTGCAAGAGAAAGAGCTTCCTAACAGAGAGAGCTAAGCTAAAATGAAATGAGCTGTTTCTTCCAAAGGAACTGGTTCCCCTTTCCTGGAGATCTTCTAGGGGAGGCTGGATGACTCTTTGTTAAGTGTGATTCTTGTTCAGATATGGGTTGGACCAGATGGCCTCTGAAGTCTTTTCCAAATCTTGAAATTCTTTAAATCGCCTGATTTTACAAATTAGGAAGGCCCAGAACAGGAAAATGACCTGCCCGTTGTTATACAGGTTGGGATTCAAACACAGGTCCTTTGATTCTGAATCCAGGCCTCTTTGCAGGCACCTTGCTGCATCTTTGAAATCTGTTCTCTTTAGATCAAGGGTACACTTTAGATTATGTCTAAATCTCTTCTTGAGGCAGCTGGGTAGCTCAGTGGATAGAGTGCTGGGCATGTAGTCAGGAAGACTCTTCTTCTTAAGTTCAAATCTAGCCTCAGACACTTATTAGCTAGGTGACCCTTGGCAAGTCACTGTTTGCCTTAGTTTCCTCATCTGTCAAATGAGCTAGCGAAGGAAATGGCAAACCACTCCAGTATCTTTGTCAAGAAAACCCCAGTTGGGTTCACAAAGGATTGGACATGATGGAAATGGTTGAACAACAACAGTTGCCTTTCCCCTATCATTAGTTTTAAGATCACTCATTTCTTCTCAAGGTTCCCATTTCTATTTCAGCAGGCAGCTCCTTCTAATTATTCATTATCTCTAAGGAAGGACCTCGGAGCTTGAAATACATCGATGAAATATAAACATTGGTTGGGGTTGTGGGATGTGGAAAACTCTAGGACAAAGACAGGTTTGGTTAAAATTTTAGAATGAAATGGAGGAAATTGAGCCTATCACTAAATACTCAACAAACCCAAGTATTTTTGACACACAGAAAAATTCAATATTTAATATTTTAGAGGGAAAAATATGGCTAGTGTCTAAATTTTCTCCAATCCTTTTTGTATTATGTGGAACATCAGGGTCCCTTAGGACACAATTTGGAAAACATTGGCCTAAGACAGACCTTCACAAATTGGCAGTAGGTAGGGGCCAAAATTAAAACAGGCTAAACTTCTTCAGGCTGCAGATAGGGGTATGGACAAAGCACTTATTACATCTCTACTTTCTTTTACATCCTCCACATTTTTCATGGGCCACCTGAAATCCTTCAGTGGGCTACAAGTGGTCCACAGGCCACATATTATACAGTCCTGGCCTAAGGGTTAGTGAGAGCTCTAGCATTGGTGCTCACTCATCCTACCCAGAATTCATCCCAGTCTTTCAGGCCTCTTGTATGCTGTACTCCCTGAACCCCCAAGTGATGCAGGTGATGGAAACCATCAGCTGTCTTTGGTGATTTGGTGTTTTGCTTTGTTTTTTTCTCCTTGCAGCAGCTGCTGGACAGCAGGGAAGGCCTGTGGCTGGAGAAGGAGGTTCACAGTCCAAGTCCTGTTCTATTCAGTAGTGCAAATCTTTGCATTACTGCTGGTCAAGCCCTCCAGGTGGATGGTTCTGGAAGAGGAAGCCAAACACTGAAGGGGAAAAATGTCAAGTCAGCAAGAGGAAATACAACTTCTTGAGAAGAAAATAAATTCTAGAGTCATCAGATGTCAGTCTTAGAAGGGACCTCATATAGACTCGATCTATTCATAGATAGGGAAACTGAGGGAAGTGACTTGCCCAAGGTCACACAAGTAGTTACGGCAGGATCCTCTAATTGAATGCAATGTGTAGAGAACACAATAGATAGGTAGGTAGATGGATAGATGGATGATGGATACAGATATGGATAGATAGATACATGATAGATGGATAGATGGATGGATAAAGAGCTAGCTAGACAGATGGATGGATGGATAGATGGATAAATAGCTGGATAGATAGATGATGGATATATAAAGATGGATAAACAGATAGATGAATAGATAGATGGATTTATAGATAGGACATTTATTAAGTACTTAATGTGTGGTGCAAGGCACTGTGCTAAGCAATTAGAACAGTTTCTCTAACAGCAATGACCATCATCATGCAAAGGCTTTGCTTTTACACAACTGCTGGTTCCCTTGCCCATTTTGCCTCCTGTTCTTGAGCCCTGGTTGCTTCCATTACTTGCTTGAACATATGGGCTTGGGAGAACTTGGCTAGTAGCTCCATATGCATTCTGAACAGAAAGATAAAAAATGAATCTATATTCAGGGCAGCAGTTACTCAATCTTTAGGCTCATTAAACATGCTCTATGTTGTATGGTTTGTGGGGCGGGGGGGGGGGGATTGCTCTACCATCCACCACCACCCCTACTGATTTTCTCCAGACTCTTTTAGGTATAAGACCAAGGATTTAGAGTGAGATGGAAGGAACATGAGATTCAGAGTCAGAAGATCAAGTTTCATATCCACAATCTGCTGTTTACTAGCTGTGTGACCTTGGGCAAGTCACACATATTTTCTCATCAATAAAATGAAGGGGTTGTATTAAGTTATCTCTAAGGTCCCTTCCAACTCTAAAGCTTATGATCCAATGCACCCAGGGGATATACATTTGCAATAAAGAAAGAAGTGTTTGATGTGATGTAATTACTGGCAAGATACTTTGTACAGCATCCCTTACATCAGTGTGTTGACAACTCGGCACAGGAAAATTAGGCTTCAGTGCAAGTTGGTGTGTTTCATATGCTAATTCAATCACAGATCCTTCTCCCATGTTTGTTATTATTTGCATTGACAACTGGAAGGAAGCAGAAAAGGATGTGGGTTTTCTTTAAAAGTAACATTTTCATCTCTTTTCATGTTGTGCTCTCTCTCTCACTCTCTCTTCCTCATTCTCTTTCTCGCTCTCTTTCTCTCTTGACACAATGAACCCCATGGGTCCTGGATTTCACCCTTATCTTGAAAAGTACTGATTTAATGGGGAAAAAATGCTGATTTGGCTGTCATACTTTGTCTTACATGTAAACAGTATCATTGTTAACAGTGAAAAAAATATTTTTAAAAAGTCTATGGTGTGTTGCAAGTTTTCAGACACGAGGGGGAGCCCAAGGCAAAGAATCTGGTGCCCATGTAATGACTGTCTATTCCCAGTACGTTTGTTGCCTTGGGCCTAGGGAGCTTGAGTAGGCTTTTGTCAATAGCACAGTTTTCTACCTCCAAACCTAACCTAAAGTAATGAGAAATCAAGGAAAGAAAAGTAGCAATAGAGCACTTCCCCTGCAAATCTAGGACAGATTTGCCCATTAATTGACATGCTATCAGTGGGAAAAGTGGATGCAAAAGGGATCATATGGAGGGTCATGCACATAAGAACATGCATGGGCAGGGTACAAATGCAGAGGAATACCACAGAAAATATGGAAGAGTGACTCATACCTCTGATGCTGCTGCAGGGCCACTGTTATCTTCTGATGATATCCCACGAAGCGAGCCAGAGTGCAATTCTGGGTATTGATTTCAAGTCTAGGATTCCTAGCTCATTTGGCAATTCCAATTGCCCTGAACTCTCTGGGGTGGGGGCTCCCATATTTAAAACACTGGGGCTAGAGATAAGGTGGTTTCTCACAAAGCCCTCCCTTGTCAAATTGCTGTCTTCTTTCAGCCTGGACAGACAAAGTCCAAATGACAGAACTACGGGAGAAAGAATGACAGCCCTGCAAGGGACTTGAGAACACAGAATATTAGAGGCAGAAGGGCACTTGGAACACAGAAATGTTAGAGCTAGAGATCATTTAAGTCCAAGTCTCATTTTACAGATGAGGCAACCCAAGCTAAATAACCTACTCAAGGTCACCTAGTTAGTGAGTGATAAAGTGACAGCTAAAACCTAGGCCTCCTGCCTCATGGGGAAGGGCTCCTCCCTCTGCATCCCCAAGTTGAGTCCTTCAGGGATGACTACTTTAGAGAGTGGTCAGGTGTTTACCACGTGGCTTGCATAGTGGCATACATGGAATACCTGTAGGTGGCTTACCTGGTAGGCTTCTTGACCTTATCGGAACCTGGGCCCCACACACAGACTGCACCGACAGCTTCACCTACTCTTGTCCCTAGCCTCAGGATCCCAACTCAGCGACCGGACAGAGCTAATAAAGAAAGGTCTTGGCCAGCATGTGTCCATGTGTTTTGTATTGTTTTTAAACACAGTAGTGTATTTGTTATAGTTTATTTATAGGCGATCACGTCACTATTTACAGTACATGAGCAAAGAGATTCTACAGTCTTTGTGATGTAAACAATTAGCTCCACAGCTGGAGTTTGAAAAAAAGAAGCCCGTTCTGAAGTATTTACAGAAGTTAAAATAGAACTTTATACTCACAGGATAATAATACACAGAGCAATTTGGTTAAATTATCTATGAAACTATAGAATCTGACAATGTAAAAATACAAGGAAACGTTTTCTCATTTAGAAGGTAGACAGGTAAATCACACTAGAAATAAAATAACAACAACAACAACAACAACAACAACAACAACAATAAAAGGCATAGGAATACCTTGCCTTTGAAGGTTAAAGTATATTATATAAATAAGGACACATCCCAACATAAGCGGGAAAATATATAAAAACCTCTACCAATTAAAAAAAATAGCAAAACTAAAAACTTGATTCTCAATCATTAGCGGTGTCTTTTACAAAATTAAAATTGAGCTTCCTATTATAAATAACAAAGCAGATGTGTCCCTCTGTAGGTGAAATTCTTGCACCTTTCTCAAGAAATGCATCAACTGAATTTCTCTCTCTCTCTCTCTCACACATACACACACACACACACACACACACACACCCATGCATGGGCACTCTTTGCTGCATTTACCTTGCCTAGCTTCCTGATCAATAATGCCCCAAACTGTGCCCTTTTGTGGGGATGGGGATCTGAGCTCATGGAACTGTCCCCAGGTTCTAGTCCATGATGGAAAGATAAAGGCTTCCCTTGGCTCAATATTGCTGAGGGTTGTCAAGGTTGGGCTGAGCTAAGCTGCCACCTGACCCCTAGAGCCAGGGATTAAGGCTCACCTATAGACAGAGAGCATTATTCCATCAGAGTCAGAGTTCCTGGGCGGGGGGGTGCCTAGGAGGCCCCAGTGAAGATTTCAGAGCTAACCTTAGGATGCAAGGCTGGTTGGGAGGAGTGGGAACGGATGGTGAGCAGAACTGCCTAAGGATTTAGGAAGACTGCCCTAACCTGGACACTATAGGACCCTTTTCCCCTAGGATAAGCTGCCCAGAAAACCAAGTGGACTATCTCCTTTTCTACCAAATGCCCTCATCAAGACACTCTCTGGGATTCCCAAAGCCTTCTTGGTAGGCTATTTTATGACTTTTTATTCCTAACCTGAAAGCATCTGAAAAGCTATTTAAATACAAAAACTCCTTCATCTTCTCCTCCACTGTAATTGAATATTCATTCAGCACCTACTATATGCTCAAGTGCTTTCCAGGACATGGGAAAGTGCAGGCCTGGCCGTGCTTAGTTTTGGAGAAGCCTTAAGCTCCCACCTCATCCCTTATTTCTTTCCCTCTTTTGGGGGACAGGGGAGCTGTGCAGAGTGGTTACCCTAAGGATACCAGGAGTTAGACTTGCTGGTATTGTACTTTTTGGGAAAGCTGCTTCATATACCATGGACTCACTCTATGGAGGTTCAGGCTTGGTCATGTCTACAGTGTCATTTAGTGCAATTGAAAACATGATGAAATCCATGGAAAGGCTACAAAGGGGATGATTTCTACGGCCTTTGATAACTAGTGTTATAACGGGTTCTGCCGTCCTCAGTTAGACAGAAAGCAAAAGGGAGAAAGTGGATTCCCACCTCCTCCACCCACCCACCAAATACATTATATACCTTGCATCTATCCGCTTTTGGCCTTCTCAGTCAATAAACATTTATTAAGCGCCTACTATGTGCCAGGCACTTTAGTAAGGCAAAAATGTTAACTAATTCCAAGAGGCAGGCCCAATGGAAAATGCCCATGAGCTGATCATGACTCCAGGAAAAGTGAAACATGAGTGGTTTCTAGGCCTCCTCAGGTGAGTGGAGAGTTGAGAAATAAGGTCTGCCTGTGTTTAAAAGTAAAGGGGCCAAAGGATTTTTAAAAGCTGGGACCTAAGAGTTTTTGTTTTGTTTTGGTTTTGTTCTGAATGTATAAGGTCATCAGTGCCAGGATCTCCTGACTGATGTCGATTGGCATTTCATCTGTAACTCAGAACTTCAGTGAGCTTTTTGGGGGCACTGGTATATGGAGATTTGCCCATGGTCACACGGCTAGCATATGTGAGGCAGGGTTTGAACCCTGGTTTTCCTGGTTCCACGGCTAGCCCTCTATCTACTATGCTGCACTGTCTCTTGAGGGGAAAATCTAGGATAATGAAAAGAGCACCTGTTCTGTGGTGCAGAGGGCCAGGGTTTAAATCCTGATTTTGCTGCTTAACACTTGTATGTCCTGGGACAAGTCACTTAATCTCTCTAGACCTCTGGTTCTGCATCTGTAAAATAAAGGGGTTGGGTTGGATCTGTAAGGCCCCTTCCAACTCTACATTGCATGTCCTGGTCTAACCCAGTCCCCCTCCTGCCCCCTAATTTACAGATAAGGGCCCACATACTATGGTGAAGGAGAAGGAAGCCCATGTCTAGGTCTGTACCAGACAAATGTTTCATCTTTATTAAAACCTACCAACACATGTAGCATAATTGAGGAACCATCACATTCTGCCTATGACTTTTCTGTACATTTTCTAACCACTAAAGCAAAGTCTGAAAAAATCTTGCTAAACTATGCAGCTTTTTCAAACAAGCAAACTCCTAATGGGGAAAATTTCCCAAGGTGCACACAGTATGAAGAGAGAGAAGAAGGTCTCTGGATGTATCCTTCCCATGAAAGCATTCACTGCAGAGAAGCCCTGATTCCCAGGCAGGCATCTCTGAATGCTATCCTCTCACATCATCCTTTAAGAGTCTATGGCTTAAGCTCTGAGGAGGCCTCCTCCATATAAGAGTAAAAATAACTGGTTCCCTGCATCTCGGCTGACTGACTCACCGAGAGTATTCATTCTGAGGGTTGGAAATGGCCCAGTGGTTAAAAATTAGATTAAGAAAAGCAGGTAGGAGCCTATCCTACCTCACTATGGCTTGACCTACCAACGGCTGCAGAAGGCAGTGGAGAACATAATAACATGATAGACTAACAGGATAGAATTTTAGTGTTCATCTAGTCCACTCCATCCCCACCCCTGCCCCATCCCCTGCTGCAACCATTTTACAGAGGGCTTAAACTGAGGCCCACAGAGGGGAAGTCACTTGTTGAAGGTCACCCAGCTATATAGTAAAACCAGCAGTTTCATAAAAGGGTGTTTTCTTACAGAGATGTTGGCTTTACGTGAAACATTTTTCGAACCCTTAACTTCTTCCAATTCACTAGGCTTGTGATGAGACTAGGCATGGCCTTTCATTTCTGGATTCTATTATTGGCCGCTCTTGCAAAGAAATCTGACAAAGTGCTCAAACAAGTGTGATTTTCCTTTCATACACCATCTAAGTGAGGTGGTTTCTAGCCCTGTCGTTTCCTCCCTCCACTGGCACTCACCTGGCAGCATTTCTCCTCTCCTCGTCCCAAGTTACCTCTTTGTACTGCCAGAGTGACAGATAGAACCTTCCTTGAATTAGTGTTTTCATTAAAGTGACCTACTGGCTTAATATAAAGTCAGTCCATGTCTACACCCCAAAGCTTGAAGCGATTGGGCTCCAAAATTGAGAGTTATTAGACAGATGGTACTTGAGCAGTATGGCCAGGCTCCTACTGCTTTCTTTTTAGCTCTTCTGGACAGTGGGGCTGGAGGAAGACCATGAACCTCGAGTCAGGAAACTTGGGCATGAATCTCAGCTCTGCCAACAACCTTGGGCAAATCACTTGACCTCTATGAGCCTCAATTACCTCTTTTGCAAATTGGGAGATAATATTTGCCCATCCCACTTTACACAGGGTCACCATGAGAAATATGTTTCATAAATTCTAAAGTGCTATAGAAACTAGAGTTGTTGTTTACAATTATCGTTCTAGACTCAGCAAGGACCAGTTGAGTCGATTTTTCCTTCGAAATGCAAAAAGAGTTTGGGAGTTTGTCCAACATATTGCACAATGTTATTGATTTTTCCCCCCTTGGCCAGTGTAGCACAGAGAGGGGCCATACTCCTTTGGCCAAGAAAATGAGGAAGTCTACCTTCCCTGTACATGCAATCCCTTCCCCTGAGGGCTCTGGCTTTCCAAGCTTAGGAAAGCTTCCCCATCTCAATGAGAGCACTATCAGGAGATCCTTTGTTCTAGCACCCAGCACTATTAACAAAGTATCTGGGGATGGCTGTGCTTTAGTTTATCGTCATCATCATCAATATTCAGTCTTTCAAAGTCTCCAGGACAAGCTTCAAGTACAATAGCGGCAGCAACCAAAGAAATACTCTGTCCATGGTCAGCCCCAGATAGGCAGGTTCCTCCAGCAGGACCCTGGCTGCTGACCATCAGGTCTCTGGGCCCCCAGTGGCCCACCATCCCCATGGGCACCAGTGTGCATATTGCATAAGTCTTGGAGAAATCTCTCAAAACTATTTTATAGGCTCTAGGCATTAAAAAGACCACTTATTGCATTTCTTCCTGTATTAGGACTTGAGTATTGATTGAGTCTTTGAATCATGGGACCTTCTTTCCTCTTGCACAAGCGATAACACTGTTGCTTTCCTAAGTTTGGACTAGGTCCTAACTCCATCTGCGTTACAGCTCTATGAGCTTCTAAAGCAGAGGCAGATACCCTGGATGGACCCTTAGCTGCACTCAATCCATTCATAAGGTTCACATTTTTGATGCATTTTCCTTCTGTAACCAGAGCCCAGGTGCGAGCTTTGATTCAGCCTTGTGCTGAGGAAGGAGATGGAAGAATTCCACTTAGCGGTTTGACTGCGTTTTGATTTGCTTTTTTTAAACATCAGCACAGCACAGAGACGGATAGCACTGCCCATTCCTAGATGGGGGTGAGGAAGGCTATCAGACACAATTCACACAAAGCGATGTCATGGCAATCACATGTAAACATCATTGTGGGGAGGGAGAAAATACGAGGACAGGAAAAAGGCAAAGCTACAATGAGGTGGCAGCCAAAGGCAACAAGAGGCTCGCTCACTCTGGGTTCCAGCTGGAGGTTCAGAGGGGAGGAGGCTGGGAAGGGTTGACCGCAAGGAGAGGTACCAGGCTCTGGTCTTTTGTGAGAAGCACATAAACTCGATATCTGGGGACATGATGGAGTCACAATGATGAACAGGGAGCCCAGAGGATTATACTTTGGCAGGCAGAAATGACTTGAGAATTAGTCCTTGACCACAGAGAAACAAGCAACTTAATTACTTAAAAAAAAAAAAAAAAGATCTGGAGGTCAGGAGCTTCCCCTTCACTACTCACCTCAGTCTCAGGTTTCTCTTTTTAATTCCCTCCCCACAAACCTGTTCTCAGCAATTTCTTTCACACTGAGGTCAGAAGGGGACTCTCCCCAGGAATATGTACATGTTCACAGGAATTACAGCCTTAAGCTATAGGCTGGGAGTGGAGTGGGGAGGGGGGAAAGGAGGAGTCTTAAATGATAGAATTAGAGAATGCGAAAACTAGAAGGCAACTTAGAACAGAGAACATTGGTCCTGGAAGGGGCCATGGGGATCATCTACTCCAATCTTTTCACTTAATAGATGGGAAAGTTGAGGCTGACCAGTAGATTAGGGTAAGGTCTTTCCATTGGAAGAGGTGGCTTCCTCCTTAGTTGCTCACCATCTCAGGCAGTGGCGGCAGAGGGCTGTTCCTAGAGTGGATGCCTGTTAGTCCCATGGAAAAGCGAATGACTCTAACTCAAGGAACACCACTAGCCCATGACAGAACGTCACATGTTCTGGGTCTATAGCATCCAAGTAGCTCTGTCTCAGGAAGTGCTACTTGGCACCAGTTGGAATAAAGGGGGATTGTGATGGTGATTCAGAAAAGCCTGCCCACGATGGGTTTCCTACCTTCTCTATGGATGAGTTAATATTGTAATGTTACCTGTAAGGATCCCAGCTCAGACCAGAAACGAGCTTGTTCTATTTTTTCCTAGATCACATACAACAGAGGACAGGAATCTGTACTCTGCTTAATGTTCAATTGATTGATTCTCTGAATCATTTTCCTGGCTTTAGGTGAAGTGCCATCCCAAGAGGCAGTTGGTGCCAAGGGAACGATGTTTTAAATTGTTATATTACAATAATCAATGTCACAAGAGATTTTAATTAACGTATTAAAAACATGTAATTATAAAATAACATTAGTCAGGGTAAACTTTTACAGAACATGCCAGTAATAAGAACTGAGCATTAGCTAGCAACAGTTTCCTGTGTAAAGCTTGGGTAAAACCTGCCATGAGAGTTATAGTCACCCCAGAACTGTGATAACTGGGCTTGAACATGATTGGTTCTATATTTTGGGAACCCTCCTTCCCCAGGCTGGCTACTGGCCCAGTAGAAGAGGTAGTTAATGTGGGCAGTGCTGAGCTGATGCTGTGATTTCTGGCCTGGTAAAACTCTCAACTTCTGGACTGCCTGATGGATGGGAGATGAAAGAGGGCTGAGAACACAGGGCCTCTGCAGAGACCATTCCCCATGGTACCTGAGTTTCTGAAATTTACTTGCACATGGCCTCTTGGAATCCAGACAACAGTCTCATGGCTAGGGCCAGTTTGCAAGGACCCAGGCTGTGACTAAAGATTTTGGGGAACTAGGCACAGGAAGTAGGGCAGCACTGTCTCGACTGAGGGAAATTTCCTCCAAAACCCTCTTCCCACTTGACTCTTTTGAGGCTAGGATCTTCTCAGATATTCGTAAAACTTGCTCTTTAGCTAAGCTCTTTGATCTGGGTCTTTTGACAATATTTACAAAATTAGCTCCCAGTTCCCAGAGGATTCTTTCTGCCACCTGTGAACAAATTTCCATGTCTCATGGTTGGGTTGGCTGCATGGCCTGTTTTTACTTGAGGGCCACAGATTAATATCAGCTCTTAACAAAAGCCCAGTATCTAAACTGCAGGTGGAGAGGATAGGGGTACAGATTGGACCTGTAATTGTATTAGTAAAAGGAACTCCTGGAGGAGGAGGGAGGTTCCCTCTGCCAATGCAGGCCATCACTTCCTCTGAAACTTATAGCTTTAGAGATTTGCCTAAAGCCAAGAGGTCAAGTTACTTGTCTAGGCACACATAGCTAGTATGTGTCAGAAGAGGACTTGAGTCTTCCTGGCTTTGAGGCCAGCCTTCTTACCTACTACATCATATCATCTCTCTCATTGGGAGTGGGCAGTTTCAATAAATACTGTTGTGCGCAGCAGCTTAAAGTTTGTAAGTGCTCTTAAACTGTCAGGGATTACTGGGTTGGTAGTTATTGGGAGTTTGGTATAGTTCCTTGTCTGGTAGCTAACCAGGAGGGCAAATGAGAATCAGAATGGACTGTTATGCCACAGGCACGTATAATATTGCCAAGAAAACCCCAAGGGATTGGCGTGGTATAGTCCACGAGTTCATGAAGAGTCAGACACAACTGAGCAACAACAAAAAATGTGTAGTATAGCTGACCCAGTCCAACTGTGATTGAAACTGCACAACTCAGAGGCTTACTCTGAACGTCCCCCACTTCGGACAGTCTCATCCTGGACCTTCGATCATTGCTCTGGAGGCTGTGGTTCTGCCACCCAAAGTAGCCAATGCAACATTGTGGGCTAGGATGATGTTGGGTGGAGAGATGGAGAGGACCGGGATGAGGAAGGATAAGGGTTGGAAGATGGGCTGGTGACAGATGGAGGCTTCACACAAATGTCCATCCAGCCTCCTGCTTCAGGGAGGAGATGAAGTCCAATGGGTCCAACCCCTCCCCGCTTCTCCTCCTTCTTTCCTTCCCTCCCTCCCAGGGCCAGCTGGGAGTCCATCAGCACAGTGGCGAGCACCTCATTACAGTGCATAGTTAGAGATCCAGGAAGCGGCACAATGAATTAGTTCAAAGTACAGTACATCTGAGCCATAAATATGGTATTTTAAGTATATACTTTTTTTTTCTGCAATTAAAAATTAGTCTATAGTCCTGATTCTATTCACAAGTAATGTTTTTATCATCACACACTACAGACAGAAAATGTGATGGGAACATAGCTGCAACTCCACAATGGGAACTGGGTTGGGTAGAGGGTTAGGAGAGTTGGGGCTGGGTGGCAGAATGCTTACAGATGCACCGAAACAACCAATCTGAAGCAAGGATACTAAAGTGTGGCAGTGGAACATCAACACCATGGAAACTCACAAACAGAAGCAGCTTTGTTCAATGTAAACATTGATTTAAAGGGACAGCAGTCTCAGTCTCTCTTTCTCTCTCTCGCTCTCGCTCTCTCTCTTTCACTCTCTTTTTTCGTATAATTTCTTTGAAAACGTAAACATATTGGAAGGGCCTTGACTGAGGTATTGAGGTATTCCTCTAGGATTAAGGCTGTTATCGATGTAGGCTTCTCTGGGCCTCCTTCAGCAAGCTGTCAAAATCCATGGCTTCATACTTGTTTTTCACCGAAGCCGGGGAGGCCTCTTCTATATTGGAATCTGAGGAGGGCAGGGACAAGAGGAGGAGTGAGAGACTGGACTGAGCCTAAGTGGCATGATGCATGCCACCTTGGGTCACCCACAAACCGATGGGGGCAATGAGGGGCAGGATGTGGGGAAAACCTGGGATTGGCTTTTCTGAGATCAGGCTCTATGGTTAAGGAGGGTCCCCAGTTAGTGTTCCCTTAATATCCCTAATAATAGACTTAAAGAAAGTTGGAGCTAGAAGGAAGCTTTGAGATCACTTAGTCTAACACTCATTTACAAATGGGGAAAACTGAGTTCCAGAGAGATTAAAGAATTTGACCGAGGTTACACAACTAAAGCAGCAGAGCCAGGATTAGAATCCAGGTCTTATGACTCTTAAGACAGTGCCCTTTCCACTGCACTTAATTGGTTACCCTTAAATGTATAGGAACCTTTGGTGGTTCACATGTACATATAATGTATATGAACCCTTGAGGGAAGCATTTCCTATTTCAAGGGGTATCATCTGGGAGTGGAGGGGGTCATGAGTCCTATAAACGGAATCTTTGTTGTTGCCCTAGTGGTGAACATGGAAAATATGAGCCATTTTTGGACTCTGAGGACAACATCCAGTTTAGGGGCTGATAATTCTGCCCTTTTTTTCCCTTATAGCCTCGGCTACTGAAAGGACCAGGATAGGTACAAAGACCCTTTTCCATCTAGAGACAGAAGTCTAGTCTTTCTAAGTCTTAAAGTAACAGATGTCTCTTCAAACATTGTTTTCCCCTCTGAACACAGCCCAGGGAATGGTAGTAGTGGAGAGGGCAAAAGGGGAAACTCAGTGAACCTTGCAATCCAAGGATGTGGGCTGACTTTGCAGTCTTACCAAAGTTAGTGCATCTGGTCCAGAAGAACTGCCCAAGTCCCCCGTAGCTCAGTTGGAAGAAGGGCTCGTTGCGCTTCCTCAGGGCTGCACCATTCCTCAGGGACAAGGCTGCATGCTCTGAACAACGATAGGTAATAAAGCCATCTTTCTCGCCCCTGGAGAACAGAGCAATGAGGAGTCACAGGTTACCCATGAGAAGAATTCTCATGGGCCAGTTCTGGCTTTTGAGTAACTCATAATAATAGGCACAGTAGAATACTTGACATTCATATAGTACTTTAAGGTTTGAAAAGCAATTTACATATATGTTATCTCATTTGATCCTCACAACAAGCCTGTGAGGTAAGTACTCCAACTATTATTCCCATTTCACGGATGAGGAAATAGCTTCAGACAAGGTTATATGACTTATCCCTAGGCATACAACTAATGGTGTCAGATGAGATTTGAACCCTGGTTCCTAATCTAGCTGTCTACTACAATTTAGACCTATAGTGGAAGCAAGAGAAGTATCCTAAGGGGCACCAGAGGAAAAATATGATTTCTTCTTAGTCAATAAAGTGGAGAAGCATCAGGTATTTACTAGTTCTTATTATTCTAAGAAAGTTCCCTAGGTGCCAGGGGTCCAGGGCACTGTGTAGATGAATACCAAAAGATTCTTCACCTCTAATCATCATGATTGGAAGAACAATGCTTTTCATTGACACAGTCTCTTCCATCCACAGAGCTCAAGTCTCCTTACTTCTAAGATTCAGGTAAACATGTACTAAAGTTATGGACAGAAAAGAGCAATCAGGACAACAAGAGAGAGAACTGAAGACCTGAAAGAAGAACTGAAAGGCTGGAGGTTCCCAGAGTGGAACTCACACAGGATTCTAGGGGTAACATAGGAAGGAGGAATATACTTCTACTCTTGTCACTGCAACTCCTGTTCCTGTGGAACAAATACATGTTGCCTAATCGTAGTGTAGATGGCAGGAATGTGAATTTTGGTTCATCATCATGAGATAAAGGTGAGTCACTGAAGACATGCTGCTTTGGACAGTAAAGTAGAACTGAGCTGGGAAACCCTGGTCTCTTGAATTGCTTTAGGGACTATGGAACAAATATATGTTGCCTAATCATGGTATAGATAGCAGGAATGTGAATTTTGGCTTAGTATCATGAGATAGAGGTGAATCACTGAAGAGATGCTGCTTTGGACAGTAAAGAAGAACTGAGCTGACCTCAGGAAGACATTGTAATGGGACTGGAAAGAGACCTCAGAGCCTGTACTACTGTTTGGAAGAGAGAGGTCAGAAGAGGTGAGCTGAGATGAGCTGGAAGCTCCTAGATCTCAGAGCTGAGAGTTGATTTTAGAACTAGAGAACTCCTACCACTGTGCCTTCTACCTAACAAATCAGCCCACTGAACTCTATTAACTCAACCAGAAATATTTACTAAACAGGTAGATGAGGCAAGAATAATGATCCCATAGTTTTCCACCCATAAATTTAGAATGCTTCCACTGATACACAGTGTCAGGGGCAGGGGTGATGACAAACTCACAGAATCACAGAAAAAAGGCACCTCTTGTGTATAGAACACAGTGCCCAGGATGACTCACCACTCTGGCTTTTGGACCTTTATGTCCTTAATTTCCCTCAGAAACAGTCTGAAGAGCAATTCACTGATGGACAAGACTGCTTCCTCAATGGCTGCTCTGCTCAAGTCATTTCTGGGCCTTTCTATTATCCTACTGAGGCTGCTTCTCTGCTGGCTGGTCCAGTTGAGTTACTCCTTTTCTGGGCTGCTGAGCTATGGTTATGCTCTTTTAGCAACAGCAGAAAACCCTAAACCTGAGATCTTCCTAGCTTTTCTACTTGGCTTCCTTGGTTCGGCTCTGACTTTTTGGGCAGGAGGTGGCAAGGCAAAAAGTTTGTCTCTCACGAGTCTGCTCTTCCAAGCAACAAAGGTGGTGTAAACCCCTCTTCCTCCAGTCCTGAGGTCTCTTTCCTAAAACCAACCCAGAGGTTTCTCCTGATATCAGCTTTCGGCTCTGAGATCTAATAGGAGCTCCCAGCTCATCTCAGCTTACTTCTTCTGACCCCTCTCTTCCAAGCTGTATGCCTAGACATATGACAGTGTAAGCTCTGAGGTCTCTTCCCAGACCTATTCCAAGGTCTTCCTGAGGTCAGCTCAGTTCTACTTTACTGTCCAAAGCAGCATCTCTATCTCATTATGTTAAACCAAAATTCACATTCCTGACATCTGTACCATAATTACGCAATATATATTTGTTCCATAGTCCCTAAAGCAGTTCAAGAGAACAGAGTCTCCCAACTCAGTTCTATTTTACTGTCCAAAGCAGCATCTCTTCAGTGACTCATCTCTATCTCATGATTATAAACCAAAATTCACATGCCTGCTATTCACACTATAACTAGGCAATAAATATTCTTTCCATAGTCCCCAAAGCAGCTTAAGGGACCAAGACCTCCCAGCTATTACTTTTAAAGTCCTCAGGTCTGTCATATGCAAATTAGATGTTGGAAAATAGTACATTTAAGTCAACTTTACCCACAGTTAGCACCTTTTCTCTGCAGGGCTTTTCCCCCTCAGTGTTTCTCTCACAACTCTCCCTGTTTCTTGTACCTTTCCATCAGTCAAACTGTCCATATGTGAGAGGGGCATCCTTTACATAAGGATCAGCTGAGAAAACTAGGCTTGTTTTGGTTTAGAGAAATGAAGACTGATAAAGTCATGAAAACCCTTCAGTTACTTGAAGACATATGTCACATGGAAGAGGAATTTTCCTTGTCCTCTTTGTCAAAACTAAGCAGTGGGGAAAAGGCTGAAAGGTGGAGATTTTAGCTCCTTCCTAACAATTAGAGCCATTAACAAAATGGAATAGACTGCCTCATGACCAAGGAGTTCCTCTGCAGGGAGGTCTGTGAAGGCTGGATGACCACTTTTGGGGGACGACATAGAAGGGATTCTCTGTCAGAGACAAGTTAGACTAGACGTTCCCCACGGTCTCATCTTACACTGAGATGACAATGATTCTCCGGAAACTCGAATGTTTACGTCGTGTTACCCAGGTAAGATGACGATGAAATGAAGAAGGGCACCTTCCAAAACTCAAGTTTGGGTCTTGAATGAACTAGTGCATGATTGTCCATTTCCAGGGTCTACTCTTCTTGGGGTGGGACTTCTCTACATCAGCATGTGTCTATGTGTCTCCTCCCTTATTTGTGTTGCCTCTACTGGGCAGCAGAAGCCCGACAGACTCACCTTTTGTTCCTTTTCAGCACTTGACAGTCCACAATCTCACCAAACACTTCAAAACGCTTCTTCAGCTCACTGGAACTCATGGTACTGGAGAGGTTCCTAATGTACACCACCCGGCCTTCTCCCTGCTCAAAAAAGAGGAAAAAAACATGCTTCAGTGGCTCTCTTGCCATGGGCTGAAGATGGGAGTTTGGCTCTTGTGGATGCTCAGGAATCTCAAGAATCAAAATAGCAAAGAGGTCCTATTTCCCCCTTCACCACCTGAAACTCTGATTCAGGCTGAATGGGGCAGAGCCCAGAAATTTGTTAGCTCTGATAATAATGGATCCTTCTAGTAAAAAGTAAGCTCCTCAAGGGCAGGTACTGTTTAGTCTTTGTACATTCAGAGTTTATTACTGGGTTTTACACAGAGTAGCCACTTAATAAATATATACAGGAATTTTGGATTGGATGATCAGCTAGGTCCCTGGGGTGAGAAGCCAGCCTCCATCCTGAAAGCCAGACTTCCCCTAGCCTGAAAAAATATATAAAAATTTTTTAAAAAATGGGCATTTCCCCTCCTTGATAAGCTTATAGTCAGTAAATCAACAAGCATTTATTAAAACCCTACTATATGCCAGGTACTGTATTAAGCACTAGGGATACAATGAAAGGTAGAATAGGTCCCTGCGCATGAGGCTTACATTCTAAAGTGGAAGACAATATGTAAATTACTAGGTACCTATAAGTTATGTACAGAGCATATGGAAATTTGTGAGAGCAGGCTGAGAAAAGCAAGCAGTGATAAAGCTCTGAAAAAGGCCCTCCTTCCTCTTAGCATCTCCCTGACCTACCTAACACATTCCTCTCACCCTGAGCCTTTCTCTCAAGGAGCATCTGCAGCCACCTGTCCAAGTCACATAACTCCACTCCTGCTCTATTGTTCACAGAATGGAAGAAAGTTAAGAGCTGCAAGGGACCTCTGAGATTATCTGGTTCAACCCTCTCACTATCCATAGATATTTCTAGGACCTGGGGACATTTAGCATCTGGATCTAGATGTCTAGAGCTGAGAAAACTTTATTAGGAATTGTCAAATACTGAAGGCATGCCATATGGAAAGAGTTCTGCTTAAGCCCAGGATGCAAAACTACTATCAAATGGGTAGAAAATCATAGGTAGGCAGACTTCAGCTTAATGAGGTGCTGATGAGTAAAGCTGTTCAGCAACGGTATGGACTATCTCATGTAGTAAAACATCTATCACTAGAGGTGTCCAGGAAGATGCTGGATGACCACCCGTCAGAGATGCTGTAGAGATATGAGATGGACTAGATGGTCTCTTATGTTTGTTCTGGTTCTGAAATCCTACGGGTATATACACCTATCTGGACATTTGTCCGTCTCTGTATATGTGCATTTATACCTTATAAGGTTTGTCAGTTCTTAGCATGCCAGAGAAGACTTATTTTCTACATGTCCAGGGGCCAGAGAACTCTGTCATGTGCCTGGAAGAGACAGCTTCCAGTATGTTTACACTATATGTGTTTTCCTCAGCCTAGGGCCTCCACAGACTGACTCCAACCTACATTTCCAGACTTTTTTCTCCATTCTGGTCCCCTATTCATGGCTTTAGCTCCAGCTATACTGGTTCCTCAAGGATACTCTCCATACTCCCACCTCTTTAGAGTCCATCTCTACCACAGAGAATGTGCTCTCAGTTTACCCTCTACCTAGTCATGAAGGTCCATCTCAAGTCTCACTTCTTTGATTGAGTATTGTCAGACTGCCTATCTCAGTGACCACTCCCTCCTCTCAATTGTTGTAGCTCTCATCTCTACTCCTCATTTCATTCTTATCACATGCCTACTATTATTAGCCTTTTTTCTATGTGTGCCTTTTTTTCTTAAATAGACTATGATCTGTGAAAGAGAAATCCATCTTTGCTCATCTTTATATCTTGATATCTTTATATCATCTTTATATCTCAGGTAGCACTGAGCTCAAAGATGGAGACTGTGTAGATCTCAATACATGTTTGCTAATGGACAGTTTGAGCCTTGAGAAGTGTAGGGTCATAGCCAGATTGCTCAGGGATTGCAAAGGATGAATTTTCACACCCAGGAAGTAAGTTATTTTCTTTATAGCTAGGGAGTTCTAATGGGAGAATGGAAGAGATGGACAGGGCTTTGCAGTAGGATGACAGGGGGCAGAAAATCCTGTAGGAGAATGAATGCTCATCCCTACAAAGATACACCTTGACGGTGTAATATGAAAGTCCAAGATATAGAAACACAAGGATTTGTGGAACAGGTATTTGTGTATCTGCACGTTAGTATAGGTGCTTGCCTATGGGATGGGGTGGGTATTGAGGAGGGTTGTGAATCACCTCTATAAGCTATACCCAATCACAAGATTGAGGTCTCACAGGGGACCTGGAAACCTCATCTGGGAAATCGTTAAGCCAGCTGCTGGAGTCATATGCTTCCCTCTTCACGCTGCCGGGATTTTGAGGGACTCAGAAAGGAGAGGTTGGCTGGCAGTAGTAACCTTGGATCACAACTCGCCCCCATTGCGGGACTTCACTTTCTGAATATTCCTTCTCTTTCTTTTTCTTCCACTATGAGCTTAGGAGAATGGGAAGTAAATTCTTTTCATCCAAAGCTGCGAACCTTTGCTCTCTTGGGCCAAGTAGTACAGTTCTGCTTCTGTGGTTCCTGAGCGCATCTGTATGGAGGTGAGCAGTCCTGTCTCCAGAGGGAAATCCACTAGATCACCCTATTCTTCTGCCCTTTACAAGACACTACCCTACTCCTGGTGCCACTGGCCGGTGGGGAACCTGAAACTTTGGAAGCTCCTTCCTTTGGGACTCTAGTTATCTTTTGGTGGGGAGAAATACCATGTCATAAAGTTGGCCTTGGGTCAGTTGAAGTAGAAAGGAGCATCCCCTGATCTCTCAAAGGGTTTTATCTAAAGAAGTCCCATCGTCTCCCAGGAACCCAGGCTATTTCCCATTCCTTCACTGGTCAACCCTCCCCAGCTCCTGGGGCACTTACAATGGCCTTTTCTCTCCTCTTCTCAATATGCTGGACACTTGGGTTTCCTTCTCCACAATGTTCCTTGCTTCCACATCTGTTTATAAACAAGAAAACATAGGCTCTTGGTCTGGGTAGATCAAAGGAAGTTTCAGAACTTCCCCTATGAGCAATGAGATGCTGGTAGTCAAATGAAAAACTGCCTTCTGCCAGCTACATTCCTCTTAAACTGGATTTGGGACCTGGGACAAATGTCCTTCTTTACCTGTACAAAAATGTCTCTGGTTTCCTCCTTACTCAGTTCTCTGAGTGAGGAGACTGGCAAGCATCCTGGGGCTTCTCCTCAAGAGAGATCCTCGATCACCCACCTTTGGTCAAGCAGTTCCTACCTGCCATGAAATTCTTTGGAACGGGCAGTGTGTTATAATGAAAAGAGGACAGGATCTGGAGTCAGGATACCTGGGTTCAAATCCTGACTCTGTTGCCTAGTAGCCAAGTCAAGGCCACCTCCATGAATCTCAGTTTCCTAATCTGTAAAACAGCCCTACTTATCTCACAGAGTCACTACAAGTATTTTATTAATTGCAAATTTATAAAATTTATGTAATCATAAATTGTGAAGCACCACACATGGGAATTCTGAACAAGGGCCTCTTTGCTCCCATTGGGCTAAACTGTAGCAATAATCCCAAGCATACAGCTATCTTTGCCCCCACAGGTACAGTAGCCTTTGTCCTTCCAAGTCATCTCTGACTAAGCAGGGCTCACTGTAACCAGCCCTCCCCAGAAACAGGAGGAGCTTGCTGCCTCCACAAAGCTCATTCTAATAGAAGGTTGTTGAGGGGAAACTCCATTATATAAATGGTTCAAAATGTGTTATTCATTTACCTATGTCTGGGGGTGGGAATCAGGTGAAGAGATTCCTATCTGTAAAAAGTCAACATGGCTTACAGGAAGCAAAGGGCCCAACTTTTAAAAATGCTCAGCAGAATGAAAGTACAACACATTGTTCTTGGTACCACTGAGGTAGTCTATGGCTTCAAGGCATTCCAGTCTGCAAGCAGCAGCTTTAATTTAATATGTGGGCGGGTGAGGATATCTCTCTCAACTCACCAACCCTCTCCCCTCCAAGATACAGTAAAACCCTCAGATAATGGAGGTCACTTATCTACCAACCTCAACTACTCAAATCCAGTCAAGAGCCAGAGAACAGATAAAATAGGACAATACAATTTGGAGTGGGGAAGGCATATTTGAGATCAACTAATCCAACCTCCCTCACTTTACTGATGAGAAGCTGAAATCCAAGGAGATGGTTGGACTTGACCCCAAGTCACATAGGTATTAAGTACCATAGCCAGAACCCAAACCCAGGGCCCCCAATTCATTCTTTTCCAGCTAAAGTCAACAAGCGATTAAGCATCTACTATGTGCTGAGCATGGTGCTGAGCATGGTGCTAAGCACTGGGGATATAGATAAAAGAATACCCTTACTCTCAAGTAATTTTAAATTCTATTGTGCAATAGACCCAAAAGTTGATCATTCAGAAGATATCAGAAAGTCTTAGTACTTTAGCTCATGCATATGGTTTACAGGAAATTCCCCCCCACCCCTAAACTCTATTAGGGCCCTTTGTATTACATGGCAAAGAAGTTCTTCATCTGTTCAGGAAAAAAATCACCAATGTGGAAGAAATTTTTAATGAAAATGCTGAGTAACTGTACGTGAGTGGATGCTCTGAGTGAGTTGTATGAGCCATGGGGACCCAGAAATAGGAAATATTCCATGACAAGCTGAGTTAAAGTCTTTTTGTCACCTTATGCCTCAAGTCTCTCCTGACTCCAGTCCATCTGCCATTAAGCTGTTCCACTGAACTTTCTGGAAAGCACAGGTCTGACTATGTCACCTCTACCTATTCAATAATTGTCTCCCTATTGTCTTCAAGATCATACATAAAATCCTCTGGCATTCAAAGTCATTCATTACCTGGCCCCTTCCTGTCTTCTTATATCTTACTTACCTCCAAGTACTCTTTGTTGTTGTTTTTTTTTTTAGGCAATTGGGGTTAAGTGACTTGCCCAGGGTCACACAACTAGTAAGTGTCAAATGTTTGGTCTGAGGCTGGATTTGAACTCAGGTCCTCCTGACTTCAGGGTTGGTGCTCTATCCACTGCACCACATAGCTGCCCCTCCAAGTACTCTTTGATGCTGTGTCCCTGGCCTCCTAGCTGTTCCCCACACACTCCCATTGCCTGTTCATTTTCATTGTCTGTCCCATCATTCCTGGAATCCTCTCCTACCTACCTTCCTTCAAGTCCTAGCTAAAATCCCACTTTCTATAAGCCTTTTCTCAGGCTTCTGGGAAGGTGATGTCATGACTTGCAAGTGAATTGGATTTAAGTGAGGCAAAGTCACCAGCCTCACTTTCTTCTCCAGAGCCCTCTGGGTCCACTGGCAAGATAGAGATCAGGACAACTCCGGCCCTTACCACCGCTTCACCCAGTTGGCGCAGGAGGAGAGAGTGAGGTTGGTGACTTTGCACAGCCCTGCCTCACTTAAATCCAATTTACTTGCAAGTCATGACATCACCTTCCCAATGTCAACAACTTGGGCTTCCTTAATCTTAGTGCCTTCCCTCTATTTATCCTGTATATATCTTGTCTGTAAATAATTTGCATGTTGTCCTCCCCATTAGAATGTGAGTTCCTTGAGGGCAGGGACTGCCTTTTGCCTTTCTTTGCATCCCCAGAGCTTAAAACAAGGTGATTGGCACATAGTAGGTGCTTAAAAATGTCTGTTGACTTTTTTCCCTAACCAAGGAAAGGAGGTAAGCTATGGCCTTTAAGGTCTTCAGTTAAAAAGCTTTCTGGGAGCTTCCTCAGGAGGTGGGGGACTATGAAATAGTTCTTTCTTTACAAACAACAGATTCTTGAATTATCTGATGTTTCTTAGCGGTGGTAGGGCATTAGCTTCCAAAGAAAGCAAAAGTTGATATAAGGATGTTTTTTAATTTCATTAGGGGGAGAAAAATCATTGAATAAGGAATGGCAGAACTAGAAGAGAACTCAGATTCAGTCTAAGCTTCCCAGCTTACAGAGGAGAAAACTGAGGCATGGAAAAGAGAGACTGATTTGTGCACATGCACGCACATGCGCACACACACACACACACACACACACACACATTTTTCTGATTTACTATAGGTAAACCAAATAACCCAGGTATATGTGAATTGGGTATAAAATCAGAGTAAATAATCTTGTGGGGGGACACCTCAGATGGGAAGATTTCCTATAAATAAGATGCACGAGCTAAAGTGCAAGGACTTTTAAAAGTCTCTGAATGGCCAACTTTTGGGGTCCATTGCTCAATAGAATTTTAAGTTCTTTGAGAATAAAGGATTATTTTACTCTTTTAGCTATTTCACTCTTTTAGCCTGGCACAATGCTCAGCACAGAATAGGTACTTAATAATTGTTTGTTGATTTTAGTGGAAAAAGAAGGAATTAGGAGGTCCTGGGTTTGGGTCCTGGCTATGCCATGTGGTTTTGGGTCCCATCCTATCTCTTCAGCTCTCAGTTTCTCATCAGTAAAATGAGGGAAGTTGTATTAGTTGATCTCAAAGGAGCCTTTCTGCTCTAAATCATATTGTCGTATTTTGCCCAAGAATCACAATGTCCATGAAGTTGGTGGTTCTTTGCCCTGTGTTTCCATGGCTGAGCTGCTTTCTTATCTAGGCATGCAATATTACAATGGTCCAGGAGTGAAACTGGTGAGCAAGGTAGGCCTGGGTAAGAGAGGACTCATGGTATTGTGGGGAGGGCCCTAGATTTGGGAATCAGTAAGTACTGGGTTGAAATCCCACCTCAGATACTTAATAGCTAGACAAGTCATTTAACCTCGGTTTTGCCATCTGCAAAATGAGGCAAGGTTGGACTTGCAGGGCCTCCAAGATCCCTTCTAGCTATAAATATATGATCCTCTCATAAGAACCAGTTCAAGTCCAAGGACATAATACGTTCTGATAATGCACCTGGCAGAGAATCTATAAAAACTATTCTTCTATTCCCTCCTGAACATTCTAAAGATCGATGACTGCCTATTCTGGGAATTAGAATGTACTGGAAAAGGAATAGAGAGGGAAAGGAGAAAAGCATGAAACAGAAGAATTATCACTGCTGCTAAGAGACAGAATCCAGAGCAAAGGGAGCAGGCTTGTATTAGATTGTATTAGAGTAACCATAAGGTTCATCTGTTTCTCCCTTGATCAATGTAAATGTTTGCTTCCTGTAACATAGATGCACTATAATTCTTGCCCTGAATTAGCCAATACAGCTCCTAGCAAAAAGGTTTTGGATGGGTTTTCCTCACTTTGCATAACTAGTACAAATTTTCATCAGCAAGGTGGGCAGAGATGTTCCCCAGTTAATTACACCATTCCAGAACATGGCCCCCAAGGGTATCCCCCATTCCACGCCTATCCAAACAGCAGACTCCTTGCAGCAGTTTTGAGTCTGGCTAAGGGCAGCACAACAGGTTTCCCAGACACCTTCTTGGAAGGGAGCATGAGGCTCAGGGCTTCGGGGACAAGACAAGATATTTTTGTTTTTTCCAGAAGAAGAAAAGACCTAGTCTTCCTGCTCACTTCACAGATGAGGCTTTAACTCGGGCTGCCATACTGCCTCAATGGCCACTGGGGAAGGCCCAGGAAGAGGGAGCTACTCACTCAAGCCGCATTCGCACCCCAGTGCAGAAAGCTGGACGAGGACATATTCTGTATTGCCTCCTGGGCAGACTTGGTGTGGCCTTTATCATGTGGCCCACAGAATGTGTCCCTTGAGGTTTCTGTTCTTCCTCCCACCTCAACCCCATCACAAGAGGAGAGACATGGTATTGTAAAAAGTGCTAGACCCGGAGTGAGGCAAATCCTTCCATCACTTAGTAGTTTTCTGATCCTGGGGCAAATTACAACCTCTCTAAGCCTCAGTTTTCTCACCTGTAAAATGGAGATAATAGCACACATCTCACAGAGTTATTGGGAGGTTCAATTGAGATGACATATGTGAAGCACTATATAAATGTGAGTTATTATTAATAAGAAACAGGGTGGTACAGTGGATAGAGAACTAGCTCCACAGGCAGGAAGACCAGGCTTCAGTGTCAGCCTCTGACACTGCTTGGGTGATGCTGGGGAAATCACTCAACCTCCCAGTGCTCTAGGAAACTCTACAGGACTAGACTTACAGAGAAAGTGCTGAGTCAATTGGTAGAGGGACTCTCCTCATCTGGGAGTTCCCTATACTAATGAAATCACTGATCCAAGCTCTATTCCTATGCTACCTGAAAAGGACTTGAAAAGCAGGCAGCGGCTGGGTGTGGCATGTCCTGATTTCTCCCATGGTACCCAACACAGGTCATGAAGCAAGGTGAGGTGGTGGGACACGTAGGGAAAGGACAGAGCCTCATCTCCATCTTGAGCAACCATTTATAGCAAGTGCTCCCCTAATGCTACTTCTTTCCCTCTAAGATGTTATTAATTTGTCCTATCTCTAGCTTGTCTGTACAAAGTTATTTGCAGGCTGTCTCCCCCATCAGACTCCGAACTCCTTGAAAGTAGTGATTGTCTTTTGCCCATCACTGTATTCAAAGTACTTAGTACAGTGCCTGGCACATAGTAGGTGTTTTACAAATGCTTGTTGACTTGATTTGATCAACTTGTTGACTGACTGAATGATCCATAAGCTGAACTGAGGCAGCCACCAGAGAAATGCTGCCCAAGCCGCTACCTGTAATAGGAAAGCCCCCAGCTCAGAACGAACACCAATTAGGGAAGGGTTAGGGTAGGGGCACAGGTGGTGGCAATACAATGCCACTAGATGGCAGACACTGAATCGTCCGTCTCAGGGCCAAGAGCCATCTCCAAGAGAGATAAACAGGGAGGGGGCAGTGTCACAGTGGTCATGGTGCTGCTACCTGGTCAGTCTACCTCTATCCTTAACACTGCAGCCCCTAGTTTGTTCCCCGACCTACCTGAAGGTCCTCCGGTTTGCTGGTGACCTGGATCTGTGACACGAAGATCCTGAGCTTGACCGGCTCCGGGAGCAGTGATGCAAACTGGCCTTGCTGAAGGGTCTTGGGTGGAGGCAGTGCTGACATGAAAGTGAATGGATACAGAGGTCCTCGTCCTCATCGTCCTCTTCTTCCTCCAAGAGGAAACCACTGTCACTGCTGCTGTCCTCAAAAACAGTGTCGTATTCTGGGCTCTTGCACAAGGCAAGACCTTCCTCCTCCAAGGTATCATCCAACAACCCAAAGTGCTTCGTTAAGCTGGCTCGGATCTCATGGTCTCTTAGGGGCTTGCTGTCCTTATTGGGAGTTCTGCAGTTGCCACCTTCCTTGCTCAGTCCTTGTGCATCAGCCCTGGAAACCCTGGGCTGGGATCTGTCCTCTGTATGGGTTGAGTATGGCTCCCAGGACCTCAGCACCTTTCTCTGGAAGGATCCTTCTGGCTTGAGGACCTGGCAATAGTCGTGGTCTCCAAAGGATCGGGAAAAGGGACGCTTCTTGCCTACCTGGGATGGCTGAACTGTGGTTCGGCTCAGGTGGGCCAAGAGCTCACTCCGCTCAGGATACTTCTTCCGGGACCTATGGGACCCTCTAGCAGTTGCCACAGGCCGGGGACCCTCAGGGGAGGGGATGGATGGAGCTGCCTCTTTGTTTGGCCTATGGTTCACATCTGGCTTGAAGGGGTCTTCCTCAATAGGTTTGTAGGGTGGGGTGGTTGGCGGTGTGAGACCTTCTCCCCAGCACCAAGAAAAAACAGACAGTGTGAGTTTGATGCTGGGCCCTTTCACCATAGGCTGTTAATTAAGACCTTGGCTGCCTTTGTCTAATAAGACCCAAGGGTCCTATCCATCCTTGTGACTCACCTGGATAGGATTCTTAACTTTAGTCGATCAGAATCCAACCCTCATTTTCTTTCTACCAAAGGAATGTTCAACAATTCACGACTCATCAGGCCCAGCCCCCAGTAACCTGATGGTAGTTTCTAACAGCCCATCAGGGAACTGCTGATATTACCAGGGGTTACTTTTCCTCTCAATTAACATGCAAAACTCAGGCCTCTATCTGTGGAGAAAGACTGAATCTGTCGAGCTCGTGCCCATATTCCTGGTGCCGGAAGGTGACCTAAAGACCAAATGGTCTGACCCATACTTGACTGAGAATCTCTCCTACAACATTTTTGACATATAAACATCCAGCCTCCACTTGAAGACATAAATAAATGCTTCCTGAAGCAGCCTCCTCCCGTCCCTCCCCTACCCCAGTTCTTTCATTCAGACAACACAGAGAGTGAGGGGGCAGGGCTAGCAACTAGATTGTAAACGCAGAATTGCCTGACCAGGTTCCCGATGGAGTACCATGTTTGCCTGAGCCCACATTTCCCAAAACTAGCCCAGGAGGATCTGGGATTGGATGAAGCAAAGGTCTCATCAGATTTTGCTGCTGGACCACCCTGACCGCAGTCACCCAACCCCAAGCAGGGTCATCCTGGAGGTGCAGAAGCTAGAATTCTACCACGGGGGCGCTATTTATGCCTAGGAAGGATGAGGGTCCCCCTCACCTGCTGTCCCGCAGAGCTCCACTGTCAGCACCTGGTCAAAGTTCCGTTTCCCCAGTGGAGGGTCACTGTTGAGAAAGAAAAGGGGAGCTCAGAGATGTCGTGATCACCACACCATCACACAGAGAAAAGGGCGGAGAAAAAGGAGGCATAAAGATTCTGGTGTGAACTGCAGCAAGACGGCGGTCCCCATGTTTACTTTGACAGAGTAGCTCCTGATCCTCAGTATTTAGAGGATAGAAAGTAGCATGACAATTTTAGGACAGTGAGGGTGACATTGTGTCTGGAGGTATCGGAGAGGGTGAGAGAGAGGAAAAAGTAAGCAAAACAGAAAGGAGACCTCTTCCTATGGGCTGGCTGAATCTGCTGAGATTGAGCAATTGGACCTCATGGCTTCAGCCTTTCTCCCCTGGGCCTCCTGAGACTAGCTTCTAGACTGAAGCTGATTTTAAAAAATGACCCGAGAGAACAGTTTCCTCCCTAAGATCCCCAGAGTGTGCCCACACACATGCGCGCACACACACACACACACACACACACACACACACACACACACACACACTAGCATGTCATACGAGACCATATCTCAGCACACTGCACCATGCCAAACATGTTTCACCACATCCCATCACGCCACACTGCACCTCCCTATATCTCACTATGCCATGGTATACCCAGCTGTGCCATGAAGGCTTCTGGCAGGGGAGCGACTTAGAATCAGAGCCAAGTTCAAGTGCTAGAGACCCTGTCACTCCACTCTGCCACGTGAATTTTCTTGAAGTAATCCAATATGATGTTGTAAACTTACTTCTGTGACAAGGCCAGTGTGAAGCACCTGGGAGTTTCTGAAAAGGAAGAAACAAGACAGATTCACATGCAGGACAAAGTCATCAAGCCAGCTCCAAGACATTTGTGACAAAGCTGATCTCATCTGATTCCCCCATTAGAATGTACTCTCTGGAGCAGCCAGGTGGCACAGTGGATAGAACACTAGCTCTGGAGTCAGGAAGGCCTGTGTTCAAATCTGGCCTCAGACACTTACTAGCTGTGTGACCCTGGGCAAGTCAATTAACCCCAATTGCCTTCAGAAAAAAAAAATGTACTCTCGTTGCGGGCGGTCACTTTCTTGGTGTCCCAAGTGCTCAGCACATGATACGTGATTTATAAATTCCTATTAACTGACTGATCCATCAGAAGCTAAGAAATGCCAAACTGTGGATGCCAACCAAGAGATGTCCATCAATGTCTGGAACTGGAGATGGAAGCTGCAAGGGCTCTTAGGACAGGCAAGAGAGCCAAGAATCTCAGCACTGGAAATGGCTTTCAGATCATTTAGCATAACCCCCTCATTTTACAGGTGTGGAACCTGAGGCCCAGAGAAAAGAAACCCATGTGCCCAAAGTCACATAGTGAGCTGGTGGCAGAGCTGAGCCTAGGGCCTCTTGATGACCAAGTCCACATCACCCTGTTTCTCAACTCATCCTGTGTCCTCCCTTGTGACCCTGCCCTCCACGCCCCTCTCTCTACCTCTCGAGCATAACCGAGGGCAGCTGTGGTCCTCGTCCATCTCACCGCTGCCACTCTCGCTGGGGCTCTCCAGGGCGGGGAGCGGGGCTGCTCTCTGCTGGGACTGGTCACAGACACTCTGTCCTTCCTCCAGGTTGCCCACCGGCACTTCCACCTCAGCATCATAGGTCTCTGGGTCCAGGCACAGGGCGGGGGGAGGGTCTGCCCTCTCTTCCGGGGGCACCTCATCTACAAACGAAAGCCACGGGCCTAGTTCAGGGTTCAGCCTCTTGGAGCGTCGAACAGCATAAATCGAGCTCTCTGGCTTCCTCCCCACCTTGGTCCCGGCTGACAGAGGTGTACTTTGTGCACACGTTCTTGCCTCCCTGTGCCCTGCCTCGTCTTCCTCCTTTGCCACTGGTAGAGCATTGATTTCTTCCTTCACTTCCAGCTTCAGGGGCCTGAAGCTTGGCCTGGGTTCTGTGGTCCCAGGGGAAGCCCTGATCCGTACCTCACAGGCCTTCTCTGACGAGGGTCTCTGGCTTTCCTCAGAGGGCCCGGGGCTGGGCTTGGAGCTGGGTGATAAGGAAGCATAGATTGGCACGGCCAGCCGGTAGGGCTTGCTCACATCACAGAAGAGGTCTTGAGCCAACAGCTCTCTCAGGATAGAGAATTTGGACCAGGAAGCTTTGGGAGGTCGGAGAGTTGTTGGCCTCTGCATCAGGTTGTCTGGCGGCTTCCCCTCCTCATTCTTGCAGGGTGCTGCCTTTTGTAGCATGCAGTTGGCCTTGGCTCTCTTGAAAGGGTTGCTGCAGGGCTGAGGCGGGTTCACTAAGCCTTGGACAGGCAACTTTCTCTGGGGAAGGCAGTAAGTATGCATGTAATGGATCAGCTCCACCATGGCACGCATGTCCTCTGCACAAGCAAACTGGTCTCCGGCAGTTGCTTCAGATGGCATAGGAGAAGCCGGTGATGAGGTTTGGGTGAGCCTGGGGCTTGAGCAATCCTCGCCCGAGTCACTTTCTTCCTTGATGGGGGGTTGAGGGCTCTGGGCCGGTGGGGAGGGAGGCAGCTGCTGCCATCCCCTGTCTGGAGCCTGAGCGACAGTGCGAGGACAGCACGGCGCTGAGGTGAGATGCCTGTGCAGTTCAGTGTAGCTTCGGCTCTGAGTCTGAGTTGGCAAGGACTTCTTGTCCTGGGGGGTTTCCATCTAAAGAGAGACAGATAGAAGCAGTGGTAAGGAGACAAAGCCCGTATTTCTCTCCTTGTGATTGCCCAGAAGGATAGGCAGATACCCCATGGAGGCAGGATGATAGTGTGACTTAGGGGAAAGGACACAGAATTTAGAATCAGGATACTGTGTTTGAATCTCACATCTATCATTACTAGCAGCATGACCTTGCGTAAGTCAACTTTGAATCACTGGGTCATAGTTTCCTCATCTATAACAAGAGGGTATTGAATTAGATGATCTAGATAGATACCTTCTAGTGCTAAATTCTATAATTCTATTACTTAGTAGTTAAGTGGACATGGGTGAGGTCCTTTCTAGGGCCTTGGTTTTCTTTTTTTTTTTTTAAGGCAGTTGGGGTTAAGTGACTTGCCCAGGGTCATACAGTTAGAAAGTGTCAAGTGTTTGGTCTGAGGTCGGATTTGAACTCAGGTCCTCCTGACTTCAGGGCCGGTGCTCTATCCACTGAGCCACCTAGCTGCCCCAGGCCTTGGTTTTCTTAACTGTAAAATGGGGACAATAATATCTGCACTATCTACCTCACAGGACTATAGTGAGGAAAGCTCTTGTGAAGCTGTAAAATGTACACATATGAGTTGTTATTGTTTGTGAGTCCCCAGTTTGGTTGTGTGTACTGCTCACACTCCCCCACATAAGCCCTCAGCCTTTGCTTTTACTCTCTGCCTGCCCTTTCCAAGGTCGCTAAAATTCTGTTCCTGCAATTTTCTGTGGGTTTGTTCTAATCCTGCTATGCCCAATCTCCAGTGAGGGGCCTAGGGAACTTGTCTGAAAGGTCTCATGGTAACAGCCCAGAGCATTCCCGACAGGCACAGGAACTGGGGGTGGGGGTGGGATGTCATTTGGTGGATTGTTAGGAGAAACCAAGGACAACCACAAAGTTCTAACTCCTGTGATCATTTAATCCTTTTTATTATCCTTTAGTGTTATCTTGGGCAGTTTATTCCATGGAGTTCTTTGCTGAGCCTTGCCAACCCTGCCTTTCTACAAGAATGTGATGCTAGGAGCACTATCCACTCCAAAGGCAGGATGGGCATCACTGGCATATCCCACCAGAACATCCATTCATATAGCAATGACCAACAGAATTTCCCACGTCACTGTGACCGAGGCTCTGACATTAACTGGTTCTTGTAATACTGGTACCAATGATCCTTCAGTTCTGAGGGTAAAGGAGGTTGGATCTCTATGGAAACCCAGGAATCCTCAGGTTGCCTATGTTATAATCTGGAAGACTGCAGAGATCAAAGAATTCAAGGCAATGCCCAGACAGGGCATTTGCAGACAGCAAGTTGCAGAGTCAGGATCAGAACCCAGGACCTCTTCTGCCAAATTCAAGACTTTTTCACTGAACCACATGAGATGATTATGTTAGAAGCAGAAAGGTAGCTTAAACATCACACTGGAAGGTGTTCCTGTCATCTGCAGGGCTGTATGCATTCATCTACTGTTCCAACTGGTCTGAGGTTCATTCCTCCTCCACAGTGCCTTTTCCTGGGATGCTAAGATCAGAACGGGAACAGACTCACTTTACAAAGGAGGAAAAGGAGCCTTACAGAAGCGGGTGACTTTGACCCAAGGTCACCCAGAGAGTCAGCAGTGGAACTGGGACTAGAGCCCAAAGCTCCTGACTCTCACTCAATAAATAAAATATTTGTTGAAAAATGAATGAAGGAGGGAAACAAGGAACTCTTCTATTCTTCTGTTTCTGAAACCAGTTTCTGATAGTCTAGAATGTATCCATTATCATGTAATTCCCTAAAAGGGACCACTTCTCAGCAAGGGACCCTGGTCTGGCCCCTCTGCTCCTTCCATGCTTTCCCTGTCCAGAAGGCTCCTCCCCACTCCTTCCACTTAGGAGAGTCACCGTGTTAGTTTCTCTGTGGCATCACAGCCCTTCCCTCCATATTCAACTACTGGATATACTGTTGACCACAGGACTCGCTGATTTTACTGTGGGGCTCAGCCTGGGGACGTTTTAGAAGGAAGCCTGGGTGCCCCTTAGGCAGAGAAAGCATTTACATGTAACAAGGTATATGTCTATGTAGAACTCTTGAGTCTTGGATGGGGAAGTGGGAAAAGATGGCATTAACTATGAGAGCTGGCAGGAAGCCAAGTGCACACCCAGAGAATGCAGTTTCATGGCTTCCCATGGAACCTTGACCCCGAGCCTAGGAATACCTTGAGGTAAGGTCGCTGGCTTTTGGACTTCAACGCTCCTTGCCGCCGGATAGCCCCTTCCTTTTGGGCCTCCACGCTTGGAGTAGTGTGGGACGGCGAGAGGAGAAGCTTCTGCAGCTAGCGGAAGAAGCGAAACACAAAAAGAGGTGTGACTCCAACCCCAGACACCCCCATTTCGAAAGCAAATGGGAGTGCCTAGGATCATAGACTTAGTTAAACATCACTGAGTCCACCCCCCCCTTCTTTTACAGAGTCCCAAAGAGGTGAAATGATTTGCCCAAGGTCACACAGGTAGTGAGTGGTAGACCTGGGATTTGAATACAAATCAAGAATGAAATATCCCACCTAGGAAACAATTAACCATCAAGGAATTTGAGCAAATTCTTTGGTTTGAACGTTACCATAGAAGTCCTGCCTGTATGGGTGGGGTCTGAATCTAGAGTCAGAAGGGACTTTTGAGGTCAGCTAGTCCAACACCCTCTTTTTTTTTTTTTTTACAGAAGAGGAACTGAGACTCAGAAAAAGGAGTGACTTAGGATCAGAGATTTAGAGTTGGAAGGGACCTTAGACGTCTAGCCTAACCCCCTCATTTTTCAGATGAAGAAATTAACCTCAGAGAAACTACGGAATTTACCTAAAGTTCCGCACGTGGCATGTAGGAGGGACGGGATCAAACCCCTGTGCATGGACACCAAGTTCAGTGCTCTTTCCCCTATACTAGGCTTCCTCCAGTTGGAGAGAGGGTAAGGGAGAGTCCTGCTCTAAGTCTGAGCTGGGCTAAGATGCCTTCCAGGTTTTAAGTTTGAGCTCCTGTGATCCTAAGTAACGTATTATAGGGAAGGTTTTTGAGCCTCTCACAGATGATGCCACACAGGGGACACAGTGAAACATCTGACATTTGCTGGTTCTTACAAGGAAGACCCCAGTTGTGCATCTCCAAGCTCTGACAAGCACAGAGCCTGAACCAATACTAAGGCAGATGTGCCCAAAGTCAGAAGTCAGAACTCAAGTCTGGAAATCAAAAGGCCTCTCTATTTTCACATTTCTTGAAAGAGACAAAAAAGCTTTGTCCAGCTTCTGCTGCACAGGCCGGTGAGCATGGGTGTGAGGTATATATCAAGAACTGTTGCAGAAATGAAAAATATAAATTCCTACCACAGGGGGCTGCTCTTAGCTTGCCCAATGCAAGGCTTTCCCTTCTTTGCTGAGAAACAACGCAGTTTCTTCCCTGTCCCCAGGCCCAAGGTGGGGAAAACTTTCTTTGGCTGGTCATTTAGATAGGTGGTTCCAAAGTGCTTTTCCCTTAGGTGTAACAAGTTATCACTGTATGGGATCAGGGACTCATGGGCCTCAACGATTTGGAACAGAGTGGCAGAGTGGGAAGGGACCCTAGAGATCTAGTCCAACCCTCTCATTTTAAAAAGAGAGAAACTGAGGCCTGGAAAAGGAAAGTAAGTCACCCAGAAAGTCAGTGGCATCCAGTCCCACAAAAGTAGATGTCACAAGTTGTCAGCTGGAAGCCTTATCACTACTAGAACTCCCTCGCCTTAGGGGGGTAGGACAGAGGATCGTGGGATTCAGAGCTGGAAGGGTCCTTCAAGATAGTCTCAATCCAATCCCCTCCTTTATCTTACAGATCAAGAAACTCAGGCGTAAGGACAAGCGATTTACCCAAGGGTCAGATAAGTAGTAAAGAGCAGAAACAGGATTTGAACCCAGGTCCTCTGACTCCAAATCCAGTGCCCTCCTTGGCATTATAGTAAAGCAGTGGTTCTCAAGGTTTTTGGGTTCAGGACTTGTTGATACTCTTAAAAATTACTGAGGGCCTGCCTGTCAAAGAGCTATTGCTTAGGTGGGTCATATCTGTTGATATTTATTGTATTAGAAATTAAAATGTCTTAGCTTTATTAGGAAAATAGTTTTGACTTTGGAGACCCTTTTAAAGGGTCTCAGGGACCCCCAGGAGTCTGCAGAACACACATTGAGAGCCACTGCACTATGGCTGCCTCCATGAGATTGAGGAGAAAGAGATCATTAACAAATTGTGTACATAAGGGAAACGTTTCTCTTTGGGCCATAACCCCACCCTACATCCACTCTCTCAACTTATAGATGGGGAAAGTGAGTCCATTATGTGCAAGGGACTTGCCCACAGTCACACTGCCAATAAGGAGCACAGATGGGATAAGGATCCAAGCCATCTACCTCTCAGACATGTGCTCTTTTCAATTTGTGATCGTCAACTCTTATTATAGTTCCCAGAGAGAAGCTGGCAATAAGTTTGACTCCCAGATTGGGCAGGGCCCTGAGCCTGTCCACCATATTAGGATGTGACACAAAACAGTCTCTTGAGCAGGAAGTAAAGGGTATGAGGTTTGGGAAACTGAAACAGAGGCACAAGTTTATAGAGGTGGAATACAGACATGGCGATCATAGGAGCATAGGACAAAAAACTAGAAGAGAGCTTAGAGATAGTTTAGTCCCAACCTCTTCATTTTACAGATGATACAACTGAAGTCTGAGGAACTTAAACAAGTTGATCATGAAAACATAGAGACATTGAGTGGCAGAGTCAGGGTTGAAATACCATCCCTCTAAGTCCAGTGTTTCTTCAATTATGTCATATGTATACACATGTACTCATTCAAACCTCACAGGAAATGGATTCCAACCTGCTAACACCCAGCCCCAGAAAAAAAAAAAACTGACCTAGGGATCAGCCTAATGTGGGGAAAAAGTACACCCTTTTGTACCCATCATAACCACTGTAGCCAGCTTATCATGGGCCATGCAATTCCATTTAAATAGTAGTAAGAAATGGATTCTTACCAGAGAAAGTTCATCAACCTCAGACCCAAGGGCCTGCAGGCCATCTAGGGCATCAGGACTGGCTTTGGGTGAGGGGATGGGTGAGGTGGGGCCTGGGGTGGCCACATCCCTATCTTCCAGAGTGTGGAAGGCAGCCAGGCCCATATCCTCTTCCTGGATATCATCCAGGGTTTCGGTGAGAGCAGCCAATAGGGCGTCATTTTCGCCACTTATGATCTAAAATAGGGAAGAAAGAGTTATGTGATTAACAGACATTGATTACAGAAACATGCTTACCCTTTGCCCACATAGCTCAATTTTCTGCAGAACACAGAGCAGGTATTCCATAACTAATTCACAGGTTATGGAAAGGTAGAGTTGGAAGGAACCTCAGAGGTTATCTAGCTCAAACCCCTCACTTTATACATGAGAAAATGAGACCCATGGACAGGCAATGATTTTCTTATGGTCATGATTCCAGTAGGCAGCAGAACTAAGACCAAAAGACCTGAGGGTCTTCTGACTGAACCCAGTGTTCTATGAAAGAAAGGAAAGAGAGAAAAGGAAAGAAATGAAAGGGAGAAGAGAGAGAGACAAGAAAGGAGAGGAAAGGAAGAAGAAAGAAGGGGAGGAGAAAAAGAAAAGGAAGGAGAAGGAAGGAAGGAGAGGGAGAGGAAAGGGAGAAGAAGGAGAAGGAAGAAGAAAAGGGAAGATAAAGAGACAGATGGATGAATGGATATGGGTACCACCTAAGTTTTTTTCAAAAAGTTCTTGAATCTTTGTGAAGATGTATTTAGTTTTGAGTGAAATGTTTACAAAAGATGGGAAAATAAAACTAGCCAAGCCCCAGTTATGCAGAATAAGCTTGTTGGCAATATTGTCTGGGTACCTGTCACTTCTATTTCCTTTTACTGGACTGTAACTAGATCTTATCTAAAGTTTGCATCTCACTCAATCCCTAGCACTGCATACAGCAGGAGATCATTAATATTTGTTACTAAATAAGAGAGAGCCCAGCAGCTCATTAAAGTGAGGGGACATCACCACAATTTATTACAGTCAAATGATGCTTCAGTTTGCTGGGGGGGAGAATGGGCCCTCCCTCTGAAAAATGGAAGAGAAAACCTCAGGATGTCTTCAAGTAGCCGCTGAAGGACCACTTGTAGGCACTAGAATAAAGGGGACTTTTAGTCAATAATTGATTGGACAAGATGATATCTGAGGTCCATCTAAACTCTGAAGATTCTGGAATTCTGTTTTGTTTTTTTTTTTTCATTTATATTAGATCTATTTGATGTGCTCCTTGAGGTTAGGGACCATTTCATTTTTATCTGATATTGTGGTACTTGGCAATTCTTGACATAAGTAGTGATTGAAAAATCAAAAGTAGTCATCAAAAGAAATCAAAGTGGGGCTTAATAAACGTTTGCTGAATTTAGGAGGGGGGGAAGGGAGGAAGGAATTAATATTTTCACTTCCAGAAAAGCTTCACCATCTTCCCTTGATCATTTCCAAAACAACTTAACTCAGTAAAGCAGAGATGGGCAGAGCATAGACCATGATGAAAGAGTCTTGGCTTGAAGGTTAGGAGACATGGATTCTAATCCCAGGTCTAACACTTACTAGTTGTGACCTTTAGCAGGCAAGTCATTTCACATTTCTAGGACTCAGCTTCCTCATACGTTAAATGAAGTTGGATCAAATGATCTCAGAGGTCACTTTTAGCTCTAAGACTTTGAAGCTAGGAATTTTTCCAATTAATAAATGAGTACCTTGAGTCTTAGTCAAGGCTTAATGCTGGGCCAGCATGACCCCAAAGAAGGGTAGTTACCCAGGAGCTAAGCTGGATGCCTCCAACGTACCTCTCCTGGCTGTTGGCCAGTGATGGAAATTCCACTGTTAGAATTTCATTCTTTTGGCTATAAAACTTGAATTCCTTTAAAATACAAATCTCCCCAGGAGGATTTACTTTATGTTAGTCTCTGTCACTGATATCTCAGAAAAAATGCATTTCAGATCCTTACCTAAAAACCAATTTTGAGAGGGAGATGGGAATGAAAGCCAGAGGCATCTAGTCTACATCTTGCCTAGGTCTTCTGATTCCAAATGCAGTAATCTTTCTTCTTCACCACAGATATCTGACTATTTTATTCATTTCTGACTCTTCTACAGCATAGGGCCTTGTAGGTGACCTTGGAACATCCATGTCTACTGAGGATGACGGTCACAGTGTGGTCCAGGCTACCTTCCAAGCTTACAACAGAGTATAGGTCTATGGAGTTTGCACAGTCGAGGGAAATCATTGGCCACTTTCCAGGAAACCTCAGAGGGCTGGTTTTCATTTGTCACCTGATTAAGACAAGGAGAAATGAGGAGAAGGTATAGATTCCACCAAAGCAGGAGATCTCTTTGTTTCAAGGTGAAACATAATTTGCAATTGTCCTCACTTGCTCTCTGACAACCTGGCTTTGGTCATTAGCTCCTCAAGCAACCAATGAGGTACCAGGGAGTCAAGCTGTACAGACAGTGTATCAGGGAACAGTGTTGGAAAAATCACTTTGGGGGGATGACATGAATTCACCTAAATGTGAGGGGGGCTCTTTCCTAAAAGAATCAACCCAGAGAGATGCCACATAAATATCATAAATATGCTGCTGACACATTAAGGTGGCTCCCAAGAACTGTACCAGTGAGACACAAATCTAAATTTAACTAATATGAAACTATACAATGAGTGACATATGAGCAAAGAGAAAGGGGGCGTTTCTATTTGCATGGAGTCTAGGAAAGTCACGTATTAGCACCGCGGAGGAAGGAGAGGGGAAGGTACCCTGGGCATGAGAACATAGGGGCATTATTTCTTATTCATCTGGTGCCCTGGACTCTGACACTATATTCCCCAAATCACCTTTGGATCTACACCTAGAATCAGAAAAATTTCCTGAATTCAAATCCTGCTTCAGATACTCACTAGCTCATGACTCTGGGGGAGACATAAACTTTACCTGTAAAATGTGGGAATTGGACTTGAGGATCTCTAAGCTCTAAATTTCAGCTAGGAATGAACAGTGGATAGATTGCTGGGCCTAGAGTCAGGAAGACTCATCTTCCCGAGTTCAAATCTAGCCTCAAGACACTTATTAGCTGTGTGATCATGGGCAAGTCACTTTACCCTGTTTGCCTCAGTTTCTTCACCCATAAAATGAGTTGGAGAAGGAAATGGCAAACCACTCCAGAATCTTTGCCAAGAAAACCCCAAATGGGGTCATGAAGAGTCATGCACAACTGAAAAACAACTCAACAATAAGTTCTAAATTTATGATCCTGAGATCAGAAGGTGATGTCCCAAATCAGCTTTACCACTGGGAAGAGACATGAGGTTTTGGATCCAATGAACTGTTATATTTCTCAATGTAAATTAATAAAAAGACATCTAATCTTTCAAGTGTATTTGTATACAATTACAGGCAGCTAGAGTGTTGGAACTTGAGTCAGGAGGGCCTGGGTTAAAACCCAGCCTCAGATACTTATTAGTTGTGTGGCCCTGGGGCAATTCACTTAACCTACCTCAGTTTCCTCATCTGTAAAATAAGAATAATAGTACCCCCTCCCAGGGTTTTTGTGAGGATAAAATGAGAGAATATTTGTAAAGTGCTTTGCAAACTCTAAAAGTTACATAAATGCTACTTATTATAATTATCATTATTTTTTATTGTTGTTGTGACTGACCAGTGACAGTCAGTCCCCCAGAGACCTAGACACCCTAGTTAGAAGGAATTAACAAAATTGAGGTTCTAAGCCTGGAGGCCTGAGGGCCAGAACATGGAATGATAGTGCTGCTTCCACATGGAAGACATTCTGTGAGCCCAGCTTAGCTGCCAGGGGGCTTTTCTTCCAGTCATCTTGATTATAATACCCAAGGACTCATTGAGCTGAAGTACCATTTGCAAATTTATCCCAAGAGGCAATGGGCTCCAGCAAAATGGAGCCATGGCTTGGCCCCTCTTTACAGCCTTTGCACAGGCCAAATTCTCCCAACTTGATTTAGGCAACTGTGGTACAAGGAAAGGAACACTGGATTTTGCATCAGAATAGCAAAGTTTGTGTTTTGGTCCTATTCTGCTACTTACTTGTTATCTATAATATTAAGTAAGTCATTTTCCCTCTCCCTGAGTCTCAGTTTCCTCATCTGTAAAATGGGGATAGTAATACTTATACTACCTACTACCTACCTCACAGAGGGTGTTTGGGGGGAAACTCTGTCCAGTTTAAATCACTATATTAACAAGAATTGTTAGCAGCTCTTGAAGCAGTTCTAGCTGCCTCCATGCCTGGTCCATATTCTAAATCACAGACCAGGATCCTTGTTTATCATGTTCAGGCAAGGCTCACTGAACTTGTTTGTTTTACAGAAGGATTCAGTTCAATTCAATTCAACTTTATAAAGTGCCTACCATGTACAAGGAGGCATTGTGGTCCTTGCTGGAGAAACCAGAGAGGTGGGGAGTGGGTGCTTGTGTCCTAAGCACCCATGAGTTTGATGTGACTGGCATCTATTCAAGATTTCCTTTAATTGGCAAAATTCTAAAATTTAGGAGAGTGGAGGAGGGAGGTGTGGCAGGAGAAAACGAGCAGCAGATGAGGACAGAGGAAAACTGAAGTTAAAATATCTGTCATCTCTTCTTAGAAGGGAATGGACTCTGAGATTCCTTGATAGAGAAACATCAAAAGAATTGGCTTCAAATCTTGACCCTGCCATTTTTCTACCTGTGTGACCTTAGTGGAGTCACCTCTCTTTTCTACATAAAATAAGTGATCTTGATTTAATGATGTGCAAATACATTCCGAGACTAAACCTATTCTATGATCTTATGATCCGAAACATTCCACTGATTTACAATCACTTACCCATTCCCTAAGTATCCAGGAAACTTATAAGTAGTATCACTGGGTGATATAGTGGATAGAGCTCTGAGCCTGGAGTCAGGAAATCCTGAGTTCAAATCTGTCCTCTCATACTTACTAGCTGTGTGACCTTATGCAAGTCAATTAGCCTCTTTTCCTCATCTGTAAAATGGAGATAATAATAGGAGTACCTGCCTCCCAAAGCTTTTGTGAGGATGAAATGAGATAATATTTGTAAAGTACTCGGTACAGGGCCTGGCACATAGTAGGTACTTTATAAATGCTTGTTCCCTTTCTCCCCTCACTCTCTATTGAAAAAAAAAATTAAAACA